TTCAATCTCATTTTGCTTTAAAGACAAACATCAACACAAATATAGTTTTGTATAGATTAATTAAAAACAATCACCCATTCCAGTATGTTCCATTTTTGATAAAAAAAAAAAAAAACAACTATAAAAGTAAACCTCACAAAATCTCTCTGTTGTACAGAATAATAAAAATAAATCCTGCTAGTCCAATCTCATTAGGATGTTCTGGCAGGGAGTCTGTGTCTGGTCAGACTCTGTTAATGTTGTCTCTACTGAACATTACTAAACTGCTCCATAGATTTTCAGTTTTTAAGAATGATTTTTTTTGGCGATACAGAATATGCCAGCAAAGAAAAAGTACCACCTTAGGAAAAAAAAATCAGGGTTGCCCATCTCTGCGACCACACTGCAGCTTGAAGGGACCCGCATGCGCAGTAAAGGGCGCAATAGCATCAGCGGTCTCAGTGTTCTGCCAACAGCCACAAAAAGAAGAGCTGAATTTTTGCGGAAGTAAACATGGAGGTTAGCAGTGGAGCATCGCTTACACATTTGAAGTTGTTGCCTGGCCGGAGCAGCATGTTAACAACTTAATCCTCCGTATCGGATATTCAAAAAGAATCCGACCTGTGTTGTTTAGACTGTCATGAAGAGATCAGATACAGGTCGCATTACGTAAAAAAAAATCGGAATTGGGTCACTTCAGGTTGCAGTGTGAACGCACCCTAAGTAGGAAAATACTTCTACAACTTCTTGCCTAAGTGACTCCTCATGTGCTCAGTAAAACCCTTTTTGACTAAAACGTTTTCCACAGTTCACACATGAAAATGGCTTTTCACCAGTGTGAATCACTGTGTACCGAGTTAAACTCTCAGCATGGATTTGAACTTGTGTCTTTAATTACTTCAGCAAAACTCACCGTTTTTACCAAATTCTGTAGCTTTCGGTGTACTTCTAAATCTGCTCCTTAGTCGCATCTTTTCCGGCCTGCTACTGCCTCTAGTGGCATGGAGGTGGTAACACAACTAATATAATTACATTACTAAATCAGAATACCACCAAGTCTTTGTTATTTATTGTTAGTTTTTCAGAATGTAGAGCTAATTAAATGATCTAAAGACCTTAAAGTGGTTCCAGTTTTTCTCGATGGCCAACCTGTTGAAACTGGCAAGTTTTAAATACCTTGGGTCGTTCCTGGACAGTCAGCTCAACTTTGTTGAAAACACTGACTATATTTTGAAGAACTGTTCTCAGAGACTCTACCTTTTAAGACTAGTGATCTTGGGTTTACCCAACTAGACTCTAGGTGGGTAACCCAACTAGAATTTGGGGGGGAAAAAAATCATATTTTACTACAGAAGGATTTAGTGAGTGCGCATATGAAACTGGTGGGTTCGGTACCTCAAAAAAGGTTAAGAACCACTGCTCTAGTGGGTTGCTGGCAGGGGGTGAAAGTAGGGGGGTACGGTGGGGTACTGCGTACCCCTAAACAATTTAGCGGGGGTACACAGTACCTGCAAGAGAGGGGAGCGGCTGTCTGCTGTAAAGAATCAATGGGTTCACTGTGCAGCCGTGAATTAACCCACTAATCAGCTGTGACTGATTAGTTTTTCAAGAACAATCTAAAACACGACTTAATCAGTTAATAAGTAGCTTTTTTCCCATTTCATATTTTTCTGAACTCTTAATGCTTTGCTAGACCAGCGGTGCAATATGTCGATCGCGGAAGGTTTTGAGTCGATCTCGGCATCAGGTGACAAACTAAACGCTGCCAGGAGGCTGAGACCAGCACGTCCTCCTCTGACTGGCTTATCAAAATGTTTGTAACTTTATTAAAGAACAACAACACAAATCAGCAAAACATGTTCAAATTAATGACCCAACAATAATAATCTCAGTGATTATTGTTTCTACAAGGTGTTGTGCATTTCTGTGCGTTTCGGTTCTATTACCAAAATAATGAGCAGAGCAGGAGTTTAAAATTAACTAATCAACCACCGCTGTGTTCAGGGAGGCTTATTAATGACCGCAAAATAAATATCAAGCCTGAAAACCTATTGTAACGGACTGAATGTTATGTTTTTAGCGTAATCTCATGGGAACGTAAAACCATGGGAAATATGTTTCATTAAGTATTTAACAGACAAATGGCTTCTACAGCCATAATTATGTGAAATTAAATTAATTGTCTAATATTAAAAAAAATAGTTTGGGCATCTCGCTTTGAGCTCAGAGTCTGAGAGGCTTTTCCTCTGTCAAACTTTTTTTTTTGCCTCTTATTTAGTGGAAATATTGATGTTGATGAGACTTTCTCTAAAATGATAACATTTTTCAACCTTTATAGCTCCACTGTTGAAAATGAGAAGCTAACATTCACAAATGACAGTGAAATAAAATCCAGTCCAACATCTAGTTTGAGGTGATTCCTCTGGAACCTGTTGGAGGTAAAACATCCCAACTTCAGAAGATGAGCTTTAACCTAACAGAGCTCTGTGGTTCCTCCTGTCAGTATGAGAGTCAGGGTGAGGAGGCATCATGTTAGGAAGAGAAGTGGAAGCTGCAGGATCTTCAGAACAAACAGGTCATGATGCTGGGCTGCTGATTATCCCTCTGTCTGGACACAGGATCAATATAACCAGTTTAAAATGAATGGTTATATGCCAGACATGGAAAACTGGGGTCCACTCCATGCCATGATGTTCAGGATTTAGGTCTCATGGCATCTCAAGGTGTCAACATTGCAGCCAGTGGGCTGAGGGAAATACAGCTTTATTTTGCAGCAATTAGAGCTACCCAGCTTTTATCACTTTGCAAAAAAGAAATTATCAGCACAGAAACTCCAAATAGTACCCCCAAGAATTTAAAACTACTTTCACCCCTGGTCATCCCTGTGCATACTTCCACTAAATCTGCATCCTTACTGTCACAATCTGCAAAAGGAAAGAAACAATGAAGAAATCCTATTAGAGAATCGTTGCTGTTTTTGTATGTTTTTAGATATGAGTGCACACTGACTGACCCAGGTACGGTGGGTTTCGACTCAAATCAAGAATCTTTGTCTCCTTTGGGGGAAATGTTGTCTGGAAAGGGAAATTCAACTTAGTGAGAATCCCACCAAGTTGAAGTGAACTCAAAGGGAAGCAGGTCAGGCTGTTCCTCTAAGGAGCGACTGGCAGTACAGGTATTACAGGTGAGAGTCAGGTAAACAAAACCAAGTTGTACAACAGATGTGTTTTTATGAGGTCCTTTGTCGCTGTCTGCAGCCGTGCGTGGCTGAGACAAAGGGCGACTGACACTGAGATAAAAAGATAATCTGTCTGACAGAATGCGGAAGTATCAGTTTTCTACTGGCACTGATTCCCACTCCTGCTGCTCCTTCTCAGCATTCATTGTCTCCACTTCCGCCTGTCTTGTGGTTTTCCCCCCTACAGTCTTGCTGCAGGCTGAGGAACAGTTCAGGTGTTTCATCTTATTCCCCCACACTGTAAGTTCTGCATAAAAAGAATATGTAAGAGGTAATAAATAACTTAAAAGCCTCATACAGTTTGATTTTGCACCTCAGGTATTTAACTCCGATGTTGGCAACTGTGACAAAATCTGTCACAGATCATGAAAGTTTTCTCCTTTTACCATCAGAAATCCAGTGGAAAAACAAACTTTATGTTCAACTGAAAGCTCTAAATTAGATGATCTTTGTGATCTTATTTTATTACATTGCTTTGATTATCTATTTCTTTATAAAAAAAATAAATGGCACCTCTTATTTGTAAAGCGCCTTGAGATAAAAATAAAATAAAATACATTGATAAAAGGTGCATCAATCTCACCTGAACACAGGAAAAATCTGTTGAAAAAAATAAATAAAAACAGACAATAGTTTGACCATATACAGTTACGACAGCGTATTAGGGCCATAGATAGGAAGAAAAAAGAAAAATAAATGTCCACCAAAGGAAAAATAAAGATGTTTTCTAGGGAAAAAAATTCTGTGCAACAAAATGAGAAAATTTGCTATAAAAACAACTCAGAACATTTTTAGATTAATTTCAATAATTTTCTAGAAAAGAACATTTCTGATTTTTTTTTTTACTTTTAAAACCCTATATGCTGTCATATATGCTAGATAAACAAGTCGGTGAAAACTAATTGAAATTATTCAACTAAAACTTATTTTTTTTAACCCTTTCATGCATAGCGGTCACTACAGTGGACAGCTATCTAAGCCATTTTCTTGTGCTTCTTGTGGATTTGTTATAAATCCACACTGACCACTGAAGTGGACACTAATGCATCATAAAATACACCATCAACTACTGGCCATCAGCTGCAAATGCAAGAAATTATTTTTTGTTAAATCCAATATGGCCGACAGACAAAAAAGCATGCCGACCAACCCGGTCCCTCCTTCTACTGTCGACGACTCTTACAGGTAAAAAAAATATTGTGACATCAGATAACCCCTAAAGAACAACACAACTGATGTATTTTTAAAATAACAACTTTGTTTTTGGAGACAATTACAATTGATCACCTAAAAAGAAAAATTAAAAATATATATTTTTACAAAAAATTTTCCTTGCCTTTTATATGCCTTAAGAAAATAAAAATAAAAAATATTGGAAAAAAAATCCTGACTCAAAGGATCATAATTCATGCATGAAAGGGTTAAAATGTTGATCACATCATGAGAGGAAAACATTTTTCTTTAAAAGTTGAAGTGCGCTTTGGAGCCCCCTGCTGGCGGGTTCTGGGACAACCTGTCCGGCTGTAAACAAAACTCAAGATGCCATCAGATTAAGTACCAGGCCTGCATATTCAGACTTTTATGTAATATATTACACATTTTCTTGTTGAAATCAAGAAAAATAAGACATTTTTCAGCAGACTCACATAAAAGAATATAAAATAATAATTTCAGCTTTTTTTATTTTTTTTAAGAAGTTTTATTCACACACTTTCAAAAAATAACAATAACCTGTTTTGTATCTTGGCTACTTCTTTAAATCAAAAGAATACAGAACCAGCAATGATCGTTAAATAAGTACTAATTTATTAAATTTGAGAGTACAAAAATGCAACAGATTGGTTTAAATTAGCAAATTATTCCACACCTACTTAATTAGTGTTAAAAGAGATAAAACCTATTAAATTCACAGTCAGATTATTGCTCAAAAAGAAAGCTAAGTGCAGTGGAGGAAACCACGCGGAGGTCTATTTTGTTCACCAACCCTGGTTCTGGTCCAGGACGGCCCAGTGGGCCTGGAAGGCGCTGAGGCCTCCATGGTAACGGCCGCTGATGAAGCGCAGCTCGGCGTCTGGGTGGGTTGGATACATGTTGAAGGAATTACCCGAAGGCTGGCCGACCTGCAGGGAGCGGCCTTTGTTGGTGACGAGGATCATGGACTGGATGTAGTGGGCGTGCTTCCCGGACACCTGGATGATTTTCTCATCTTCAAACAGCTTGATCTCTACGGGTTGGTTGTACGTGTATCCGGCGATCTCGGACCAAACGGATCCGTAGCAGAACTGGATGCTGAGGGGAAAGAAAAGGTAAAATAATTACATTTCATTTGACTGGAAATGGTGAAATTATGGTGAAGCCTGATGTACCAAATGTGACACATAAAATTGTTTTGTTTTAATAAAAAGGCCAATAAATAGCTAAACTTTAAAGTTTACAAATCTCTGGTGATTGTTTCCTGGATTGGACTTAAAAAAGAAACATTTTTTATTTATTCTGAGACTTTTACCTTTTTCCTCAAGTTGGAAAATATATTTTACTTTCTCTATTTAAGAAAACCTCAAAAGAGAAATAGTGTAAATATTTAAGCGTGCAGTTTTTTTCTAATGTATAAAAAAAAAACACAAAGCCAAATGTATCAATTACGAACATTTTTAAATATATAAAACAAGGTGATGATTCTGTTTTATTCCATTTTAAATAACTCAGTTTAAATAGAAAATCAGAAATATTTATAAAATAATTTGATTTAATAGGTAGCCCTCCAAAAACTAAAGAAATAACAACAATAATCGCAATAAATAAATAAAAATGATAAAAATAAATCCATGGATGTAACTATCAGAACATTTTGAACTGTGTAGAAGGAAATGAACGTCACATTTGATAAATTAGGTTTTTGTTTTCTTAAAAAATAAAAAAAGTAAAAACATTTTGGACGTTTCTGACTGTCGGATGGATTTTAAGATTCTTTTAGCAGCTTATAGAGTTTTAAATGTTTTGGCCTCTTACGTCTTCAGGATCTTTTGGATCTTCACTCCGTCCAGAACCTTAAGATCCAATAGTCAGTTGCTGTTTAAAGTTCTTCGGACCCGATGTGAAGCAGATCGGACGTTCTCCGTTGCTGCTCCTTTTCTAATCTCTCCAGATTAGATCTGCTCACAGTCTGGATTATTTTAAACTAATTCTTAAAACTTATTTTCCTTCGTTGGCATTTAGTTGAGGCCTGGTACTGTAACGTTTCTGTTGTGATGTTTTATATTTATTTTATTTACTTATTATTATTACTCTTATTTTTTTGTATTGTTATTATTTCTTCTTGTTCTATTGTTTTACAGTTTTTGTGCAGCACCTTTGTGATGTTTTAATCTTGTTTTTAAAAGTGCTGTGTAAATAAATTTGACATTTTCATTTTATTCAGCGGCTCTCTTGTTTCTAAAAAATATGGATAATAACAACGTTTGTTAATTTCAAATAAATCAAATTATTTATTTTAAAATAAATGTTCAGTTATTTTATTTTATTTGTTTTCCCCTGGCACTTTTACAAAAACACTTATTTTAAAAGGATCACATGATGTGAGCATTATTTTGTTTGATCTGTTTTTCTTGCCATTAGGTTTGAATATTTGTTGTTGTTTTTTTTTAAACATTTTCAAAAATATAAACATCCTGTAGAAGTAAATGTTTGCATCCTCGCTTTTGTGGCATGTAATTTTTTATTTTATTTTAAAACCAACAAAAAAAAATGTCAACACTCAATAGATACTTATCAAAAAAATATAATCAATAAAAGTGTAAAAGTTACATGTTTTTCTTTGTTCTGAAACCTAAAATTGATTGGTTCGTTGTACTTTTTTTTTTTTTTTTTTACAAAGAAAATAAAATTTTGTAGACGGATCTGTTGAACACAAACCCAGACATTTTTACCCGTAGACGTGGTTCCCCCAGGCCTCCCAGGCCCGGATGGCCGTGATTCTTCCCTCTCCGGTTATGCTGTACGAGGAGCCGCTTCCTGATCCCACAGACGGAGAGAACGAGTAGTGGGAATCTGCAAACAGAAACAAACACGAGAACATCTCAGAAAAACTATTCGGATTTATTCTGAGTAGTTTAAAGAATCCCGTAGCAGTTTGTACTCTTACCCTCTGCCCACACACAGGCTGCCAGCAAAGCGAGGACGGCAATGCAGCGCATTCTGTAAACAGCTAAATAAAAGTTCAACTTCGTTCACTTCGTTTATGAAACGTGAAGTTGGAAATGGTCAACTTTACCTGTCTGATTCAAAGGTAAACCTGCAGATTAAATATGAAAACTTTAACCTCCTTAGCAGTTATCATAGACACTCTCTACATGCAACAAATCTATTTAATTAAACATGTACTTACAGTAATAAAAAGGGTTTTTTAAGCACCTGTGCTGTTTCCTCAGCGACTGTCTTCAACCTGACATGGCCGGCAGCTTTTTATACGTCCCTCAGTAGCTCTGAATAACTTCACAGAAGCTTTAAACTGTTTCCTGTCTGTCATTGGCTGCTGGCTGAAAGGTGAATGTTATGTGTTCATCCCATGTGACACCTGGAGTCAAAACTGGTGGCTCACTGCCCATCTGATGAGGGAAAGGAATGAGGAGCTGCCCTCCAACCAAACATTTGTCATGTGAAAAATGCAGGAACACTCAAAATAAGTCACTGGTTTATTTCCTTGAAGCTCCGAAGAAAGCTTATTTTTATGATTTTAAAATCAATTCACTCTTTTTTAAGTTTGGTAAACTTAGAAACTCAGATTTCTAAGTTAATTCTGAATCTAAGTTTAAAACCTGATGCGCTTATCTGATCAGATCCACCTCACCAGCAGGGGGCGCCCAAGAGCCTGAAATTGTCCCGTTTGAGGCTGAAAAAATTATATTTGTAACAGCGGTAAATGTGCAAAGCTATATACTTTACAAAAGCTGTTAACAGAGGAACAGTTTTACACGAATGTTGCTAAAAATGATAAATAATCAACTAAGGCTTTTAAATACAGACGATAACAAATATAAGATTTTCAATTTGATCATAGAATAATTCGATTTAATGAGGCTAAAAGTATCAGCAATGTTTTGTTTACATCTAATCTTGTAATTATGTTGGAAACTGTTTTTGTGACATAATTTAATGTAAATATCAACATCCCGTAGAAGCAATGTGTCCACTCTCTTAAAGCAAAATGTTTTCTTTATTTCAATGCGCAAAAAAAAAAAAAATCTTGTTCCTGTAGTAGATATTTGTAAAAAAAAAAATTAATAAGTTATATATTTTTCAAAAAGTAATTTTAACATTTGTGGCTCTAAATGACTTTTATTTTGCCGAACTGAGGGAAAATTGGCTCTATGGGTTGTAAACGTTGCAAACCTCTGGTCTGTATTTTAGTATTTTAGATTTAATGTTGCTATTGGAAACAGAAAATAGAGACCAGACTCCTGGTCTTTTTATTATAAACTGGTTTTTAAAGTTTGTTGTGCATCTGCAGATTTGCTGCTATTAAAAGTTAATTTATTTGTTTTCTCAGCTGCTCATGTTTTATTTAGCTTTTATTTTGCTTTTAATAATAAAAAGTTTTAGTTTTTTTGTTTTCTTCTTTCTTGTCAGAGTTTGGGTCACAGAGTTTGGGTCCAGCATCACAGAGCATGAATCATTGGTTTGTTTTCATTTTTTGGCAGGTGATAAGAAGGAAGTGGACACTTTCCTGGTGGTTATTTTTAACCTGCGGTGACATGAGGACTGACTGGCAATCCCACTTTTTAATCTCTTGCATAATCTGCACGTACTACCTCTGAATTAAAAAAAAACACTCATTACAGGAAGAACAAATGAAAGCACGCAGCCTTTTGTTCCCTTCGAATGATGGCCTTACAATGTCATAATTAGACAATAAATACTAGCCTGTGCAAAACTGAAGCTGGAATTTTAATTTCTGCTTTTTAAATTGTCTTTCATTCTCCATAATGGAGCTAATGAAGACAATTTATTAGGATATTATATGAATAAATGTCTCCATTTCCTGAATTTTGGCTCACGACTGTTTTTAGCTAGCTGGAGCTAGGCTAGCATATGCTAATCTTTCTTTCTGCTTTCCACTTCCATTTTCAGGGAAAGCTTTTATTCTTTCACCACAATAAATTGTTGTTGAAGCCACAAAAATGTCAAAAATACCCTGCAAAGTGAAATATTGTCTCCATGTTTGTTCATCTGTATACAAAGAAGGAAGCAGGAACAAATATGAAGTGATTAATTGTACGAATTTTGCTTTAATGAAAGAACAACACAAGAATGCTCAACTTATAAAAAGAAAGAAACAGACAATATAACAGACTCCCTTTACCAAATTATACATATAGTTCAATAGAAGCATTTATCTTTATATTTAGGGAAAAAGGGAATAAAGTAGGCTCTTTTATGGAATACCTTCATGTATATTTAGTTTACTTATTTTTTTAAAATCACAACTCCTTTAAAATGTTGAAACGAAATCAATAAAAGACAAAGTTTCGTAAATAAACAGTACTAACCATTCTACTTTACCAGATCTTAATTTAAAAGTCAATCAAAGCGGTGATTTAAAAATGAATGATACACAATCAGCTTTAAAGTTTGGGAAAATGTACTATATATCATTTAAGTGAAATTAGCAGCATTGCATCGTCGTTTTGTCTTCATCATTAATCATCAGTGAAGTCAGAGTCCACGACGGCCCAGTGGGCCTGGAAGGCAGTGGGCGGCCCACTGACCCAGCCGCTCAGGAAGCGCAGCTCGGCGTCTGGGTGGGTCGGATACATGTTGAAGGAATGGCCGGACGGCTGGCCGACCTGCAGGGAGCGGCCTTTGTTGGTGACAAAGATGAGCGACTGGATGTAGTGGGAGTGTTTCCCAGAGATCTGGATGATCCTCTCATCGTCATTCAGCTTCAACTCTTTGGCTTCGCCGGAAACGTAGCCGACAACTGGAGTCCAGCCAGAAAATTCATACTGGAACTGGAAGCTGAGGGGACAGGAGGAGTTTATTACATTTATGAAGATAACAACCTAGATATATGGTGTGTAGATCTTAAATTTCAACTTTCACAGTACATCCCTTCAAGCTGCAATATGCAACTTTTATGTAAAAAACTTTTTAAACATGTTAGTTGTGACAGTTTGGTATGAGGCAGAAAATCGATGAAAAAAAATCAAGCTCTTCTGTCTTCTCCCATTGCCAACTAAAAACAACCAATCAGAGCGAGGAGGCGGGTCTTAGCGCTGTCAATCACCCTCGTGTGTGCTGTTCTCCCCAATTGATCTCTGCTACACTACGGTGTCTTCCAGAAAGCAGAGCCTGTCGTGAATGCTAAGGCTAGTTAGCATTCACAGCAGATAAACAGATTTCCTGTAACAGTAAGCTGTTTCTCCGAAATTAGCACATTTAGCAATGGATACACGCATGTAATTGACACCGCTAAGTCCTTCGTCCTGACTCTTATTGCTTGCTTTTGGTCAAGAACTGTGCATTTATTTAGATGGCAGTAATAGCTCAGGGAGGAGGTGGAGAGGATCGATCTTTTCACGGATTATGTCACAACATGGTGACCGTTTTAGGAAATACGTAATAAACATATATATTTTTAATAGAAGTTACATACTGCATCTTTAAAACATCATGAATGCAGGAAGAGAAAGCTTTGTAGCTTTGATCTGTTTTTGAGAAACCATTGTTTTAAAGCTGCAGTATGTAACTTTCATAAAAAGCTGTTTGGTTTTTTTACATATTTGTTAAAATTGTCACCATGTTGTGACAGTTTAACGTGAAAAGATTGATCTCCTCCACGTCTTCCCTGAGCTGTTATTTAGTTATTATTACACCGTTCAGACTAAAGACAACCAATCAGAGCCAAGAGGAGGCTCTTAGTGTTGTCAATCAACTTTGTGTTTGCGCTGCTCAATTTGCTAAAAGCAGAGAAACAATTTACCGTTCCAGAAAAACCGTATATCTGCCGTCATCGATGGCCATGCTAACTAGCCTTAGCATTCATCACAGACCCTGTGAATAGACTGAGAGCAACGGTTGGGGTGAGAGCAGCATATACACAAACATGATTGACAGCGCTGAGACCCTCCTCCTGGTTCTGGTTGTTTTGGACTGAGCTGTGTATTTCTGTGAGAAGGCAGAGCAGCTTAATTTTTTCACAGATTATTTGCCTCATATAGATGATCGTATTTTAAAAACAAAAACATATTTTTTTATAAAAGTTCTGCACCCCAGATTTAACGATGTTTCATTGTTTAGCCAGTTAAATCTCCAGGTTATGCAGAAAGTTAAGAGAGTAAAATTATTTAATTGTTTTTTTTATGGTGCTTAAGAATAAATCAAATTCAAGTCAAAGCGCTAGAAAGTCAAAGACTGACAGAAAAATCCCAAATCGTCGTGATCGATTTCTAATCTTGAACAATCACCCGTAGATGTAGTTGTTGGAGAGCTCCCACACTCTGACGGCGGTGATTCTGCCGTCCCCGACCACGCTGTACGAGACACCTCCTCCCCCTCCCACCGACGACGAGAACGAGTAATGAGAGTCTGCAGGGAAAGCAGTAAAAATACCAGCAAAACCATGAACATCACAGGAAAACTAGCACTTCAGTTTCACTCTGGTAGAATAAAGCTTTTATAAACACATTTCTAAACTGTAGAGCTGGATGTTATCTGCTCTCTTACCGTCAGCCAGAGCACAGGCCGTCAGGAAAACAAGGACAGCAATGAAACGCATTCTGTGAAACAAATTAATCCTGATTCAGCAGGGATTTATTCAGTTTATATAAATATTACAATTACAGAGAAAGCAGAAATACTTCTTACGTTTCTGACCAAATGTTTGCAAGAGGAGCAAAGAAAACCTGAGGAGGAAATATTTGTACGTGTTACCACTGCTGATCGTTTAGCACATAAATCCAACTAAACACAATAATAAACACAATTTTAAGAAACGAGATACTCACAGTGTTTTAAATGTTTCAAGCTTTCAGAATCCGTGTGCAGCTCTTCCTTTCTCCTCCTCTCACATGCTAAGCGGCGCTAGCAATGACTTTATGCCAGCATGGAATGACTTCAGGCACATTTTCTAGGTAATTCCCTCTGATCACTTTACCGGTTCTCATTGGCAGATGGGAACTGTTTCAATCTGATGTCTTCCTGAAAAGACACACCTTTCAACACCAAGCATTGTCAGAAATACATTTAAAGTATGCATGGTACGCCTACTAAATCAGCCACTCTTACTGGCACTGTTGCACAAAACAAATTAGTGCTTTCAGATTAGATCTGTGGGATTAAGGGAGGCAGTCTAATGTTTGCAAAGTCAACTTGAGCTTTTTTTTTTTCTCTCATCTGTGGAGTTGTCAGGCGCCACATCTCTGAGAAATCTCACTTGAACTTCTAGGAATTGCATTAAAACAGATCAAGTTTTGAGGAAACGCTCATAGTTTAGTTCTACATGTCCATTTCATCCAGTTTTGGATCAAATGCTCTCGATGAAATGATTTTCTTACTTCTTGCAAAGTAAGAAAATCATGCAAAGATTTCCCTTCTTTGCATGAAAGTAAGAACATCTGTACTTAGTCTATTATTTCTGTTGTAACTAAAAAACCAGCACCTCAGTCTTTAAACAGAATTTGTTGCAAGTGGGCCAACATGTTTGTTTTGGTAACTCTTGCCCGACCAGAAGAGACCATTGGGTTGAAGGTCACAACCGAAGGTCATTCCATCATCCGCAGCCCCAGGTTCTGGAGGGAGTCGTTTTAATACCCTTCAAAAGCTCATTCTAGTACAAATATCTTACTGCACTTGAAATGAGACATAAATAACTCACAAGTAACATCTGAGCAAGAAATCAGAGCTTGTTTTAAGTCAATAATTCCTTAACATCGATTTATGGCAGATTATTTCACTTATAACATGGGAAAATGTCTAATTGAAAAATCAATTGATTTATAAGTGTGAGTGTGTTTGTTCTGTGATGGACTGGATCTGTCCAGTTTCTCACAGAATAACTAAAAATCCACCAATATTACATTGATCATTTGCAATCCAACAGTTGGATGAGATCTGGAGTGTTAATTTATTTTTAGTGTAAGAACAATAATAAACGTTAACTGTAAACACAAGCCAGATCTAAATTGGGCATGTAGGAAGCCATGTTTGTTTGTGTGTGTAGAAAAAAAGAAAAGCCAGCCACATATATATTCTGATTAGTTTTTATTAAAGTTTTCATTGACAAATAAAATCCTGAGTTAGAGCCTTGGAACCAAAGTCAGACAGAAATACGGGTTACAAAATGTTTAGGATTCACAAACATAACAAGAAACACATTCATATTTTTTATGAATACTAAAATCATTTACTTTGAACCTGCAGAGCAAAATGCAAAATAAAAATTTCCAGTGACAATATATATGAACTTGTTGGGTTCCTGGGTGTTTCCTGTCTGTGGTTGGGGTTGCTGTTTCCCTGTCCATCCTTCAGGGGGCGCCTGGCAGTCATTCCTGGAGGGTGTGGACCAGCTGATATTCATCACCTGCACTGCATGATCTCATTTGGAGGAGCATAAGAGGAGGAGGCAGCCTACACACCAGTGCCAGAGTGTTTTGCCAGTTTTGGTATTACAGGCCACCTGAAGTTCTCCAGTGATCGAACTTTGTGAATTTCTAGTGATTCTTTGTTTTTTGTGCCTCCATAGGAACTCTCACTACAGAAGCTGAGAACCCCTTAGTGAAAATCCAGCGCAGAACCTCTCCTTGTGACGCCGGTGGATTATTGCCCACCGGATGCCCAAGTCCCTGAATCCCACCTTGGTGATCGGATCTCCACGCTCGCTGCCCTCCTCTCTCCGGCCATAACGAAACCCGCCCAGACCTCGTCCGCCCTCCAGAGCTGCCCCACCACCATAAGCGAAGCAGCAACACTCGACCTCAAGTAATCCGGCCAGGATCCTTCAGACTTCCCCCCCCCCGGTCCGTATCATCTCAGCTAAAGTAAGAACGTTAAGTTTTCTTCCAGCAGTTTACCATTTCCTCCAGTCATCGAACTCACCATACTCTCTCACCCTTAGCTCCAACCAGAAGCATCGAACCCTCTCCGGACCAGTTTTTTCCCCTTTTTCTCTGACTGTCATTCTCTGCAATAAATATAATTTTACTGATTTCCGTTGTTCTGTGGGTGTTCTTGCATGTGGGTCAGACGATTAAAACCCAACATGACAGAACTGTCTTCTCATTAAAGCAGATTTTAATCTAAGTTTTAATATATGAATAAATATTAAGCAAATTAAAGTCAAAATTATTCAATGTGGAGAGAATATCAGTTTGAACGTGGAAACCATTTATTTCACCATAACTTACTTAGTCTCACTGCTGTCAGTATTGAGGACGGCCCGCTGACCCGGCCGCTGAGGAAGCGCAGCTCGGCGTCCGGATGGGTCGGATACATGTTGAAGGCGGTGCCGGCGGGCTGGCCCACGTGCAGGGAGCGGCCTTTGTCTGTGACGAAGATCAGCGACTGGATGTACTGAGCGTACTTCCCAGACACCTGGACGATTCTTTCGTCGTCGTACAGATGCAGCTCGTTGGGTTCGCCAGACACGTAGCCGACAACCGGAGTCCAAACGACTCCGTAGCAGAGCTGGAAACTGAAGGAAACAGGAAGTGAGGTGTCACATGTTGATCTGGGGTGATTTAGGAAGAATAGATAGACGGCACCTTCAAGTTACATTGGAAATATTTGTGGAATGGAATTCATTCAGTCATAAAAAGACAGTAAGCTGAAAATATTGTTGTCTATGTTTTTGTTCACACTTTAATGATCAGATTTTTGTAAAATCCAAATTTCCGAATATATACGACTTGTATGTGACCTGAAAGCGCTCTGCATGCGCAGTAGAGGGTGAAATAATGTCTTGTCGAGTATCAGTGACGTTCAGGTCGGATGAACGTGACCTGGACATACACACTCAGATTAGATTTATATAGGATATCCAAGTAGCCTGGGTCTGATCCGTTTTATTCAGACTATCATGAAAAGCCCAGATGCAGATCACATTATGGCAAAAATCAATCAGATTTAGGTCAGAATCAGGCTGCAGTGTGAACGTAGCCCAAGTCTTTGTAGTGCCTGATCGTAACTTTCAAATATTTACCCGTAGATGTAGTTGTTGTAGACCTCCCAGACTCTAATGGCGGTGATTCTGCCGTCCCCAACGATGCTGTACGAGGATCCGCCTCCTTGTCCCACAGCCTTAGAGAAGGAGTAATGGTCTTCAAAGACAAAAATAATACAAAGGGATTCATATCAGGCCTCAGGATGACATGGTGAATATCTGGGGCACTTTGATCATCATTGGGTCCAGTCTTGATTTTTCACAAGCTATTGGTAATTCTTTCTTCTTGATCGTTTCTTCCGTCTTTTCTGTTTCATCTGTTAACTTAATACCAGGATCGATTCTGAAAGCGAACTGCACCAGCTGAAAATGCAACAAATGTTGCAATTTTGGTCCCAAATGAACCCAGTCTACCGGACCATCAGGTTCGGTAGACTGGGTTGAGTTGAGTGGTTACTCTTAACAACTCAATGTATTTGGCTGTTAGTGTCTCCTCAGCCGATCCTTCTCTCGTCCTTGGCAGGACGTTTGGACATCAGCCATTTCCTGAATACCAGGCAGGATCTTATCTTGTCAGGTTTTCATGCTCACCGCACTACTGACACTCAGAGTGTTTGAAAAATAAAAACTGTAGAAGAACCACGGTGCTGGTGCTGTTGGACCTCAGTGCACGACGTTTGGGTCTGGTCCAGTACTTACCTGGTTTGAGTCTTGATTAAAAAGCAGGAACTTCTCTGTGTCAAAAAGTAACTAGTCATCCGAGATGACAAAAATCACATGTGGAGTACCTCATGGTTCCATCTTAGAGTCCATCTTGTTTAATATCTAAATGCTCTCATTAGCCCAGATTAGAACAAGTAGCAAGATTAATTTTCACAGCTCTGGATGATACACAGCTCTGAACCCATTAATCTGCATAGAAACAAATCAACACATAGATGTGCAGTAGCGTTTTATTTATTATAAGGAATCTAATTTAGATCAAGGATATTTCATTTTGCATTATGCATGGTGGATCTGATTGGCTAAAATATGTGATGATTTATGCATTTTTAATTCCAATTCTAAGCAATGCACAATCTTAGCAATTATTTTTGTCTAGTTTCTAGTGAAAATATCTCAGTATACTTGAATTAAAATGAAATTAACTTAAAAGTAACATATAAGCAAGATATAGAGGCTTGTTTTTAGTCAATAATTCCTTAATATTGGTTAAATTGGCAGATTATTTCACTTTTATCTTGGGGAAATTGTTTCGTTATAAGTAAACTTATCTGCCTATTGAACTAGTGTTTTTTCATCAATATTAAGGAATTATTGACTACAAGTTTCTATATGTTGCTGATAAGTTACTTGTAAGTAAGTTTTGTCTTATTTCAAGCGTAATAAGATGTTTTCTCTAGAAACTAGACTAAAACTCTTATAAGATTTGCTGTTTTTGCAGTGTATTTTTGACTTCTCAGGGTTTTGCACAGACTCAACAGTGACTCATGTCTACATGAGGTCTATGTGTATTTTAAATGTTGAAGCATAGTGAAATACAGCATATATTAGTTATTTAGTTACTCACTTACCATCAGCCAAAGCACAAGCCGTCAGCAGAGCAAAGATAGCAACGTAATGCATTCTGTAAAGCAAATTGATAATGACTCAGACCTCTATGTGCAACAGGACTTCATTCAGTTCATATGATGAATAAGCTGACATTAAAAAACAATTTTACTTACATGTCTAGTAAAGCTTTTGCAGGATTAGCAGCGCAAACCTGCAGGAAAATTAGGAAATATTACAGTTATCTGTTAACGCATCAAGAGTGTCTAATTAACAACTGATCATTTTCTGAGTAATGCAAATTTTTAAAGCAGGTACTTACAATTTTCTTCCGATGCCTCTTCAGACTTAGAGTGGTAGCAGATGTGTCCAGCTGTTCCTCTTTCAGCTACTCATCTCACTCCTTCAGCACAGCGGTCTGTAATGTGAGTGTGGCACACCCCCAGGTATATTTCTACAGATTTCCCACTGATTACCTTCCTGGTTCTCTCCACCAGTGAATCCAGTTTAGTCTGATGTGTTGCAGGAAATTAACACCTTTCATTAAAAAACATTGTTAACCAACAGTGTGGTACACTAACTTTAGTCCTGTTGTTTTTAATGCATAGCATCAAATGTTTACAGTGTTTACTTGTTTTTCCTCTGGCTTTGGTATTAGACGTAACAGGAAATACAAGTTCTTAACGAGTTGTCATGCACTCTCTCTAGGAATATGTCGCTATGTACTTCTAAGAACTGGATCAGCAAATGTTTCCAGGAAAACTGCCTATTTATAAAAACTAAGTGAGGTTAAGATTTTTTGCTGAGGTCAGGGTGAAAAATTATTTCCTGAACATGGAATTGGAGCTAAAGAAAACGACCTGTACAGAACCTGTCGTCTTTCAGAGTTTTTCTTATCTCAACCTGAAGTCTGCCATCAATGTCAATGATGAAATCCAGTCACTCTCAGGACATAAAAAACTCAATGATTGTCAAGATGTGTGTTTTGATGGTGGAACCAAAAGCAGAGACGTTGAGTAAATGAAGAATGTTTAATGAAAAAATGAATGAATGACACACTTAAAAAAAGGAACACTGGGAGCCAAAGCAGAACAAAAAACATAAATCCAAGGAAAAATCCAGCAGGGAAGAAACAGGGAAAATAACAGGAGGAATCAGCAAAGTGTGAGCAGGAGAAGAGTTTAAACACTGAAGGCATATTCACTTCTAATGTAGTTGTTTTTATGTGTTCACCTATTGCTCTTTATTTTGTGCTGGATTAATATCCAAATAATTTATCACAAACTCAGCAGGTCTTGGTCACAGTTTGCTGATGTGCTGAACAAACTGGTCTCCAATTAAAAATGTGGTAACACTTTATTTGAAGGGGGCTGAATAAGACTGTCATGACACCGTCATAAACATGACATAATACCTATCATGAACATGAATAAGCCTTCATGAATATTTATGACTGTTGTCATAAAGCGTCATTCGGTAAATTATGACACTTTTAATACAAAGTTGACATTATTCAAAATGTCTTTGTTATGACAACTTGACATTAACCAGGAAATCTGTTTAAACTTTACCTTTAATAACATAAAGTTACCTAATTTTTAAAGTGCAATCAGTAATACTTTTATAACAAATTTACATCAGTAATGATTTATTGGTTAATGTCATGTTGTCATAACAAAGACATTTTGAATAATGTCAACTTTGTATTAAAAGTGTCATAATTTACCGAATGACGCTTTATGACAACAGTCATAAATATTCATGAAGGCTTATTCATGTTCATGACAGGTGTTATGTCATGTTTATGACATGTTTATGACAGTGTCATGACAGTCTTATTCAGCCCCCTTCAAATAAAGTGATACCAAAACTATATGATAAACTGAAAAAATTAAACTACAAACTCATTAACTGTTGAAAAGGTAAAATATTGCAGAACATGACATATGTTTAATTATGAATATAAGGCTGAATGCTGTAATAAACTGAACAGGGAGATATTTTTGATGTGCCGTTAATGGCAGTCTTCACTGAAAAATACCACAAATAGATCTTTAAAGGTGAAGGCAGATGCAGTTTATTCATAAATCATATTTTAAAGTCAACAGTTAACATAAACATTGTTGTGTTCAGTATTTTCAGAAAAAAAAGACTTTTCATAATTGATTTGAACACATTAACAAAAACCCAGATTTGATCTTTAATTAAATTTCTGATGATGACGACTTGAAGGATGCATTTTTTTTTATTGATTAATCAAAAGAAATCCTTCAAGAGTCTTAATTACCACATTGTATTTAAACCAGTGCAGTAAAAAAAGCTGTGAATCAGATTTCAGATCCCAACATCTGTCGTTTCTTCAGGCCTTAATGTCCGAAAGAGCTGTTGGTTGGGCTCAAGGACGGATCAACGATGGCCCAGTGGGACCCCAAAGAGGTGAGGCCTCCGTTCAAATGGCCGCTGATGAAGATCAGCTCGGCCTCGGGGTGGTCCGGGTACATGTTGAAGGACGTGCCAGATGGCTGACCCACATACAGGGAGCGGCCCCGGTTGGTTGTGAAGACGATGGACTGCAGGTAGGAGGAATACTTCCCAGAAATCTGGATGATGGCTTCCCCGTCGTACAGCTCGATTTCCTGGGCGTCCCCGTATATGTAGCCAACAATCGGAGACCAGAGGTATCCGTACCGGAACTGGATCCTGGAGAAAAGGACAGAAATACTTTGAAAAAATGCAGGGGAAACTGATTTTTACAGCTACACCGCCGTAAAAATGCAAGTATTTTTGGTCTAATTTCTAGCGCCAAAAAGGGATCTGTGATCTGGCAACAGGCTTAATACACAGCAAATACACAAAACCTTACCAAGTATTTTTGGTCTAGTTTCTAGTGCAAATACTTGGAATAATATAAGACATAGGACTCTGTTTTAAGTCAATAATTCCTTAATATTGATGAAAAAGTTCCAGTTCACTTAAAACATGGGGAAAATGTCTTGTTATAAGTGAAATAATCTTTCTTACCAATTTTAAGGAATAATTGATTTAAAACAAGCTCCTATGTACTGCAGAAAACTTAGTTGTAAGTAGTTTTGTGTAATTTCAGGAATAATACTAGAAACCAGACCACAAATATGTTTGTGTTTTTGCCTGCTGATTCCAAAGATTAATTTTTGGACCTCACATCTTTGAGAAATCCGCTTGAAGATTTTTTGGATTTTTTTCATCATGGTTTATTGTCAATGTAAATATGCAGACTATGCAGAAAATGTCTTGCTAACTTACGCTCGGATGTAATTGGAATAATATTCCCAAACTCTCACAGCGGTGATCCTTCCCTCACCGGTGATCACGTAGGAGCTCCCACCTCCCGACCCAACGGGTGGAGAGAACGAGTAGTGTGGCCTGACTGGAGTGGGGAAAAACAAACACGTTGCTTTTAAAAATACTAATCAGATGCTTAGAAATGAATAAACAAAATTATCTGTTTTGAAAACCCTCTGATGCTTTACCCTCTGGTAACATGGAGACTTACGATCTGCCGCAGCAGAAGCAGCAAGCAGAACAAAGACGGCAACCAAAAGCATTCTGCACAAGAAAAAAAAAAAGCTACTTTATCTGAGAAAATCTGCACTGTAATCACACAATATTAAACAAAAATACAGAAAACATTTTTACCTGACTGCTAATCTTGTTTCTAAACTCTCAAAAAGCTGAGCGGCAGGGTGTACCGTGTGTTTGCATGTTGATCTCTGCTTTTATACTGCATTTTTTTGTTACGTCTGATGTCATTGGTTGATCGGCAAACCTTAAAACAACGTACTGAAGCGTTAGGGAGCAACCTGCTGTCAGGAGGTGTTTCCTTTGTCAAAGCCAGCATGCCAGCAATCTGTTTCAAGGAAGATATGCAGCTTAGAAATGATGAACACAATGACAGTGCCTTTATATTTGTCACTATAAAGTTGTTTAACCTGTGTGAGTATATTTACAAACTACCAGGTTGTGTTTTTCTTAGCTGCCTTTACCTTTATTTTACTTTAACTCTTCTAGACCTTTAAACATGAAGTTTGCCTGTTTATTATCCTACAATAAACAGTTTGACTAGATACTTTATTCTCGTGTCTAATTCACCAGACTAATTGCAGTAAACAGGTTTAGTTTTGAACTCACCAGGAAGCAAGTGCTTTGTGATCTGTGCTTCCTTGTAACTGTGGCAAGTCCTAGAACTGGAATTACGACCTCAAAGGGTTTCTGACATATAAACTTGATACTTTACTATTTACAGCAACTTTCCCGAGGATGTTTTTCATAAGAAACTTTGCGGAAAACAGATTCTCAAAAGAGGAATCCATTAAAGGTTAATTAATACAATCGATGGGATCTTCATTTTACTTAAAATGACTCATTGTATTTTTTGTTTTTTTTGCATTGCATATCTTTATTTAAACTTTTTAGTTTCTACTCTGTGGTCACGCATATGTGTGCATTATGTGGCAGAAAGCCAGCTGGTAAACGGGGACCAAACTTAATCTCTTTAAGACCAAACTGCTTTAATTTCTCCAAATTGTAACATTATTGCACCATTTTCATTGATTATTGGTTCTGATCTTTTTTGTTCATTTTTCTAGTTTCACTTAGTAGATTAACAGAGTATTTCAAACTCTAGCGAGTTTGCTGATTAAAATATTTTGACTGGAAGGTTGAATTATATTTGTTAGTAAACTCATATTTTGGAAAGAAAAACTAGCGTGTTTGTCTGGTTATGCAGATTTTGCATCTATTTAAATTTATTTTTATGATGACTTAGCTGCTTTGTGTTGAAACTGGTGTTGTGCACATTCTTGGCGTTGCTAGTGGGCAATGACAGTGGGACTGCCTCAAAACCCCAAAACCAACACTTCTGATAATGACGAGACGCACCAGATATCAGTAGATATTGCTCCAAAACGAATGGAGAAGCTGCTGCCGGACCACCTCCACTCTGCTTTCTGAGACGGGGAGCCAGAAACTAGTTATACACCTCGCTTCCTCTGGAAAAAATAAACACAGTAGTCTAATTTCAAACCGCAGATTCATCCCCTGTCTACAGCAACATCTAATTGAAGAATTATCTACTACCAAGACACTTAAACTGTCTCTGCTAAATAAGATGCCTATCAGCGAAAGGGCTTCTTTCAACACCTAAAGTGCATATTTAATGTTCTTTTAAATCGTAGAAAAATATTTTCTGAGGCCAAGCTGTAAATCTGGTTGCTGTATTTGGTCTCTAATTAGCTAGCGAATTTAAATCAAATGACAAAATCCAGCTGAAATCCACTACAGTACCAGCATAACACAGCAGAGGCAGCGAGCGGAAGAACAACAAAGCCCAGCAGAGTCCCAGCTCTGACCTGAGTTAGGTCGATTAAAAAGAGTTATAAACATTTCCAAAGATATGAATATTTTTAAGCCCAATTGAATGTGTGCTTATTACTCATCTATTTTATCTTTGTAGATATATTCCAATAAAAAGATCTAAATATCTGTAAATGTAAAGATACATTTTCAAAATTCTCCTAGCAGTTAGCACTGGAGTTAGCATTTCCAGGTCTGTGTGCATGTTGTTTTCCGTTCCAATATCCGTTATTCTACGATTAAATGATCTCTGTTTACTATGCTGTCAATAGGTCTGTCTTCTGACTCACCTGTGAACCTTCAATCTTAAACATGTAGTCAATGTAATGCTCAGAATTGGCCTCCTGGCTCCTCTAGGTTTTATTCTATGTTTTTAGATCACAGTCCGGTCAGATCAGCATACGTTGTCAGAACAGCATGCATGCAGTGAGTACGCATGCGTGCGCCTGCGCATTAAGAGGTCCGCGACATTAGAGGAGCTGTCAGCATATGCGACAAGATACGACGAAAAATTAAAAGTAGATGGATATACATGGACTGTCGTGGTTGAAGTGTATTTAAAGCAGGGTCTAGCTGCAGTTGCAGTCAACAACAAAAGATTTGTGCTAAGTATATGACGATCTGACAGCGTATGTCAGATCGTCGTTAGTTCTCCTTCGTCTACGTCATTAACGGCTGTTGCTAGGGGCGCCATTTGTCTAGTACCTTTTATTTTGAAATATGGAACATGTCTGAATTTCAGACCCGCTATGATACAAAGGCTTCAACATATGTTAACGTTAAGAAATATTCTTTTAAGAGATGTTGTCTTTTCACCAACTTGTATATTTCATTGATCCAACATTTTTGAAAAATATGAAGTGGACTTGATTGCTCCTAAAAAAATACGTAATAAATAATACAGTAAGAGAATTTCCTATAAAATTATAAATAGAAGATATAAAGATAAAGATTTAAGTTGAACTACAACCCTATATGTACTTTCTGCAAAAATCACAAAGAAAACCTTGTTAATCTGTTTAGGGATTGTTGTTATACTAAAATATTCTGGAGGGAAAAGTCAATTTTTCTTTATTGAAATAATTTGAGTATTACCTTAACAGATAAAAGTTTCATTTGAGATGGAGAAATGTGAACTTCATAAAAAAATTATTTTTATACGTTCACTTTTTTATTATTTATAGTAAATATGTTCACACCTCAAAATATTTATGACAAAAACCAAATTTCCAGAATTTATCTTCTATTAATATTTATGTAGAATCTGTAAAACTAAGCTCAACCACTAATGTCATGCAAATTATAACTGCAACCTTCAAGCACCGATTTGATTTTAATATTGTAAACTACTTGCTCTTTGTTCTCTAAAGCCTTTGGAAATCGTATCTGGTGTTGTGCATTCTTATTTTTCAGTTAAAAAAAGTTTAAACATATAAATTCTTTCTTTCATTTTGAAGAAAACAACTATACCTTATTAAAAATGAAATAAATGATCAAATGAAAGCAAAAACCAATGAGAAAAAATATTTATTTCTGAATATTACAACCCATTTTCTTGGCAAATAATGATGTTAAGTTCACAACAAAACAGCATTTTAATGGCTGTGACTTCAGAGAAACGAAAGCAAAAGTTGTAGATTGATCTTTTCTTTATTACTGATTTGTAACTTGATTAAAAAACAAAAAACTTACTAGATTTACAATTTAATCAGTGTAGTAAAAGAGCTGCAAATTAGACTGCAGGTTATAACATCTGTCGTTTCTGCCCTTAATGTCCGAAAGAGCTGTTGGTTGGGCTCAAGGACGGATCAACAATCGCCCAGTGGGACCCCAAAGAGGTGAGGCCTCCGCTCACATGGCCGCTGATGAAGATCAGCTCGGCCTCGGGGTGGTCCGGGTACATGTTGAAGGACGTGCCAGATGGCTGACCCACATACAGGGAGCGGCCCCGGTTGGTTGTGAAGACGATGGATTGCAGGTAGGAAGAATACTTCCCCGAAATCTGGATGATGGCTTCCCCGTCATACAGCTCGATTTCCTGGGTGTCCCCGTATGTGTAGCCAACACCAGAGGACCAGATGTATCCGTACCGGAACTGGATGCTGGAAAATAAGAGAAATAATGTGAATAAAAGGTGGCAAAACTTTTTTGTTGTAATAAGAAATAGTATATCCAAAACACGTCTTGCTAACTTACCCTCGAATGTAGCTATTATAGTTTTCCCAAACTCTCACAGCAGTGATCCTTCCCTGACCGGTGATCGCGTAGGAGTTCCCACCTCCCGACCCAACGGGTAAAGAGAAGGAGTAATGTGGCCTTACTGGTATGAGGAAGAAACAAACACGTTGCCAGTCAGGTGCAAAATGTCTTTTAAAAATATAAAACACGCACTCCAAAGTCGAAAATGTTTTCTAATCATCTCTGCGATTGATGTTTTCTCATGAGCAACATGGAGACTTACGGTCAGCCGCAGCAGAGGCAACAAGCAGAGCAAAGACGGCAACAAAAAACATTCTGTGTAAGATAAATAAAAGATTTACCATTTTACCCTTAGACTTTTCACATTGTAAATATAAGCTAACAAAGAATAATAAAAAACATTTTACCTGACTGGTTGTCTTGCTCCTAAAATCTGAAGTGTGCTTTACGTTGTCAAAAAGCAGAGTTATGTTGTGTGCGTCGTTTTCATGCTGCTTCCTTTTGTATCACGGTTTGATTACGCCTGATGTTTTCATTGGCTGCTCTGCAAACCTTAAAACAATGCTTGAGCCTCAGGGAGGAACCTGCTGTCAGGTGGTGGAGTGTCTTATTTGTCAAAGCTGGCATGCCAGTAACCTGGAAGATGTGCAGCACAGAAATGACATCATCATTATGCAATTATGTTTGCTATTATTATAAACTCTGCAAGTATAATGAATACAAAGAGTGTACAGGTATGAATAAAAACAAACAGGTTTGGTTGGGTTTTGGTTTACGTATGTTCTGTTTTTCTGGATAGAGTGTCTTGAAACATGCAGTTTGTCTTTTGATTATCCTTCAACAGTTTGAGCAGATATTTTATTCTCGTGTTTCTAATTCAGCAGGTTAAATCACAGTAAACAGATTTAGTTTGCTCTCACCAGGAAGTAAACACATTGGGACTTCTGGAGAGACACAGTTGTATTTTTATGAGCATCAAGGCCCTGCCCTGTAAGTTTGTTGCTTCATTGCAGCTGTGGCATGTTCCAGAACTGGAACGACAACCTTCATGGGTTCATAACATATAAACTCACTCCTTTAATACTCTCAGCGTCTTTCCTAAGGATGTTTATGTAAGAAACTTTACAGAAATCAGATCCTCAAAGGGGGAATTCATTAATGTTGATAATTAAAAAAATCATGGATACCTGGTAATAAAACAAATAAAAAATAAAAAATACAGTAGCTAAACAAAATGGACAGATTTTTGTTTTTGTTTTTAGCAAAACACATTTTTATTTGAACTTTTTAGCTTCCACAGTTCAGTTACCTGTACATTATGTGGCAGGAGATCAGCTGGAGACCAAATTTAATTATATTGATAATATTTATGTAACACAAAACTCATACTGAATTATGACATCATTGCACCATTTTTTATCAGTTACTGATCCTGTTCATTTTAAGTTTTATTGTTTAACTCTTGTTTATTAGTTTTCATAATTCTTTCACTGTTTATTCAGTAGTTTAGTTGATTGTGACTCACTTAGTCAGTTTTTGATTAAAGTATTTGTGCCTATTCTGACTCTAATGCTAAATTCTTCATGTATTTTTAAAAATATTTTAGCCTGAAGAAGAACTCACTAAAACTGAAAAGTGTTTGGTTATTATTTCCTGATATTAAAATGTTGCCCCAGTTTGGTCATTTTGATTAAAATGACTAATTTTGTCAATATTTGCCCTGAGCTCTGCCGCCATCTTGTTCAAGGCATAATTTCTCATGCTAGCTTTAGCTTGTTGCTCTGGTGGAGGCTCGTTAGTATACGCTGCTCCTCACTAATTTATCATTAATTAGGTATTAATTTATGGGAGTCTGTCAATAATTGTGGAATACATCATACAGAAAAACACACAGCGCACTAATGTAACTATTTTCAGTATTCAGATTCCTGATAACTTTTCTCTGTCAAGAACCCACGTCAATCCTTTTAGATAGCATCGCCATGTGCAACCTAAATTTTGTCTGCCTCGAGGTTCAAACATATTCTGACTTTTATTTTGGAGTAAACTCAAAATTTCAATCTTGTAAGCCACATTTTTCAGATATTTTATGACTTAAATATATCTTTAATCTTCAAACATTTTTCTAACTTTTGTTGCTTGTGTAAGTTTTTGCTAAAAAAAAAACAACAACAAAAAAACTATAATAAATATGGTACCATAGTAAAAATATCCTACCATTAAAATTAAAATNAATGGTCAAGTGAAAGGAAAAACTTTCTGAATTTTTATTTCTGAATCCAAACATGGTTCATTTCATGATCCATTTTCTTGATAAATACTGATTTCAAGATTATTACAAAATAGCATTATTAAAGCCGTGATTTCAGAGAAACAAAAGCAGCAGTTCAAGATTACTCTTCCATTTATTATTTATAAATTAAAGAGAAAATAAATCATACTAGCATTTTAATTTAATCAAGTCAGTAAAAGAGAAGCAAATTTAATTGCACATTCCTTCTGTCTTCTGCTCTCCATCTTAATGTCCAGAGGAGCTGTTGGTTGGGCTCAAGGACGGATCAACGATGGCCCAGTGGGCTCCAAAGGAGGTGAGGCCGCTGCTCCTCCGGCCGCTGATGAAGATCAGCTCGGCCTCGGGGTGCTCCGGGTACATGTTGAAGGACGTGCCAGACGGCTGACCCACAGACAGGAAGCGGCCCCGGTTAGTTGTGAAGACGATGGACTGCAGGTAGTGGGAATACTTCCCAGAAATCTGGATGATGGCTTCTCCGTCGTACAGCTCAAGTTCCTGAGTAGTACCGTATGTGTAGCCAACAACTGGAGACCAGAGGTATCCGTACCGGAACTGGATGCTGGAGAAAAAGAGAGAAATTATCTGAATAAATGGCGACAAAACTCTTTTACGTATAAAAATACGTCTTGCTAACTTACCCTCGGATGTAATTGGAATAATATTCCCAAACTCTCACAGCGGTGATCCTTCCCTCTCCGGTGATCACGTAGGAGCTCCCACTTCCTGACCCAACGGGTGAGGAGAACGAGTAGTGTGGCCTGACTGGAGTGGGGAAAAACAAACATGTTACTTTAAAATATCTTTTAAAAATATAAAACAGATCCTCAGAAGATATGCTAATCTCTAAGACTGGTGTTTTAACCTGAGACTACATGAGTTACATGGAGACTTACGATCGGCCGCAGCGGAAGCCGCAAGCAGAACAAAGACGGCAACCAAAAGCATTCTGCATGAAAAGAAGGGCTACAGTTTAATCCTCATCAATTCTCCTGTGTTACTATAAAATAATAATAAAAAAAACATTTTAAAACATTTTACCTGACTGGTTCTCTTGTTTCTAAAATCCCAACGGAGTCTCAAGCCGTAAAAAATCTGAGCTATGTTCTCTGTGTGTCGTTTGCATGTTGCGCTCTTCCTTTTGTACCACAGGTCGATTACACTTCATGTTACTTAAAAGGGAGGACCCTGCCTTTAGGAGGTGGATATTTTTGTCTGTCAAAGCCGACATACTAGTAATTTGGCTCAGTGTTTAACATCATGACTATGCAATTATTTGTTACTGTAAAGTTGATCAGTCTCTGCATGTACAGCAAGAATGGTCCGTCAAAAGCTGGTTGTTCTTCATTTGCATTTACTTTTATTTTCAGTTATTCTGTTTATTTTTTCTTGCCTTTAAACATGTTGATTATCACTCAACACTTTGACTAGACGCTTTCTTTTCACACGTCTCATTCCTCAGATAAAGTTACAGTAAATGGGTTTGGTTCTGGCCAAACCAGGAAGCAAACGCATTGTGACTTCTGTGGAGTTTTTGATAATTATCGAGGAAGAAGCTTACCCTGAAACCACTGGGCATGCTTTGCAGCCGGGGCATGTCCCAAGACCTGACGCTACAACTTTCATGGCTTTCTCATGCTCTGTTGTCATTTGTATTAATTCTCCTAAAGATGTTTTTGCAACAAACCTTCCAGAAAACAGATTTTGAAAGGGAGAGTTCATTAAAATGTAACTAACACAATGGGTGCCTGACTATGCAAGAAAAATGAGGGAACAAACTTTGAAAAACAAAATTATTTGACTGATCGATTCATCAGACGTGAAGGAGGATGAGCTTTAAATTAAGTATTTTTTATTTCGCTTTGCAGTTGAGAGACTATGAAATGAGATATTTATCAGATTTTTTAAAGTCAAACAATTTGGGTTCTTGCTCTGTTCTTCAGCTTGAATTGTCTTTTAAATCTTCAAACCTTGACATGCAACTAATCATCAAAATTCAAGATCTTCTTCACCCAATTTATATACACAAACAATAACTACAGGTTCTATTTTTGTACTAGAAATATTAGCATCATGATACTAAGCCATGGTTGTAATTTCACATAAACTTTAATAACTGGTAGTGGAGATTAGTCACGTCCATCGGCTCCTGCAGAGGAAATTCCTCTGGATACAATGAAACATGTAATGCTGTTGGTCTGGTTTCTGTCTCTGTTTTTGGCAGCAAGGCAAGTTTTTATCATACAGCCAGTAAGTGTCTAATCTTTAAGATGGATGGGAAATCCTGCCTCTTTTCTATTATCCCACTGAGGGAATACTTATGGCATTTTAAGTCTTTACTGACTTACTTCACTGTATTTTGTAAAACAAATTTAAGCAAAAAATAAAAATAATTGCCTCCGTTACGCTTACTTCATACCTACTTCCTTTTCTTAGCTGTTAAATGAAAAACAGTGTGAGCTTAAACTGATGCATATCAGTTTATGTGTCTTTGTTTACTGTTAAATATTTTCATAAATCATGAAGAAATATAGTCATTAAGACATTTTAGTTCCTGTCTTTGGAATAGATTCATATGAAAATGACATGAATAACTCTAAGTAATAACTGAAATAAATATATTTCCTTACAGAATATGGAAACTTACCTTAACTCATATGATCTAAAATAACAGTGTCAAATTTATTTTAGAAATAAAATTGTAAAAGCAAAAATTGGAGAAAATATTCCTACTTCTGCTTATGTTATTTTTTTATTTCAGACTATAAAAACATACAGGTTGTACTCAGAGGAAAACAGTGGCTCAGAGGGCGTAACTTACAGCACTAAAAAAACATTAAACGCTGCATTTTGAGAACATTGTAATGCAAATGATGTGTTATTATTTATCCCCTAGTGACTTTTGATAGAAGACCGGCTTTGTAGTAATTTCTATGTGTCTCTGAACGTCCAGGTCAGATTTAGTGTCTAATCAGTAGATTCTAGTTTCATGGTCCAAAAATAATTACTTCAGTTTTGTTTCTATTCTACGCGTCTGCAGCACAAAAAGAAAAGCGCTTGTTGTGAACACGCATCCACTTCTTTTAGTTAGTCAAGCTGAAGGTTCAGTAATAATCTCTATGTCTGACCAGTAAACAGAAAGCTGCAAGTAAAGTGCAACAGAAAAAATATCTGAGCTACTCTAAATGCTACCATAAAGTATTAGCGCCGTGCTAAGAAAAAACAAGATTATAAACTTATACAATTACCACAATAATCTCATACAAGACTAAAGTCAGCATGTTTAGAGAATAATATTGAATAAAGTCATAATTATATGAGAGCAAAGTCATAATGTTACTAGAATTATGTCGTGTGAGAATTGGCAAAATATGAAAATAAAGTCATAATATTTTGAGCTTAAAGTCATAATACTATGAGACTAAAGTTTAAATATTATGAAAATTCTTGTATTATTTTAACTTTATTCTCGTAAAAGTTAAAAAATAATATATCATAATATGATGATATATTATTTCATAATATATCATCATATTATGACTTCATTGTCATAATGCTATGACTTTATCCTTGTAGTATGAGCTTATTCTTGTAACTTTATGACTTTATCCTCACCATTTTATTTTGTCATTTATATTTTTTCATTTTCTTAGTGTGGTCCTAATGATGCAGACTCTGGCAGTCAAAATGACCTCTGAAGGCTTCAGTCAAAGCATTAATAATCTATATAACTCACATAATCTCACAACACTGACAGAACATAAAAATCTTCAAGTATCTACTGGAAATAGCAGCAAACTTCTCTCAGTCTTTTTTAAAAAAATCTGCTATCAGGTGTAACCCATCAGACCATCAGAGTAATAATGACTCCGTCATCCTGGCCCTGCCACAGCATCTCCCCTTCAAACGCCACCTTCCCGTGTTTCCGGGCTCTCATCAGGATCCCCACCACCTTATCAGAGATTCGAACGTATCTGTCAAAAAGCTGGCCGAACGTGACGCGCGTCTTTCCGTCTGGATCCGGATCGGCCATAGTCCTGATCACGTAGCACATGTCGTCTATTTCACGGTGGATGTGCTGCTCGGCTCGTTTGGCCCTCTCCGCGGTCTTTGTGCCCTCCTTTGGACGACCGTAGCCCTCCTCGCCCTTCTGCAGGTGAAGCGACATCGAGTAGTCGTAGTCAAAGTATTCGCTGAAGGGGTTCAGCTTCTGGTTGACTGTGTGCTCCACCGCCCAGTTCTGCCAGCGACTCTTCAGGTTTCCAACAGCGCTGTGCTTCTTGGAAAGGGCATTGATCTTGTTGGCATCCTCAGCTTCCTTTTTGTACCTGGGAGCCACATTGGATTCAGTTATGGACAGACAGGAACATAAAAAGACACTAAAATAATGAAGCAGTGCTCAGCAGGAAGACCTTGAGATTTTCTTCAATATTTAATATTTAAATGGGCTGTTAATGAAAAGATAACGTGAATTACACAAAAGAGGACTAGGATCATTAAAAAATTACTTTTTTCAGATTTCTGCCTTTTGGTATCAGAAGATTAAAGTAAGAATTTTGACATTAAAGTCTCAGAATCTGAATTCTCAGATTGAGTAAAAAATCTGAAAAAGTCAGAATTCTGAAAAAAGTCAGATTTTTTTAGATTAAAGTTAGAATTCTAAGATTAACTCTTAGAATTCTCTGATTTAATTCCGAGATTAAGTCCAGAATTCTCAGACTAAAGTCAGACTTTTTAGATTATTGTCAAAATTCTGAGATTTATATAAGATGCTCAAGATTTTATGTGAGGATGTCAGACCTAAACCGACAACCTCTTTGTTTCTCACTGGATTGATTTTATGAAGCGACCTCCGTACAGTTTGTAACATTTTATAAAAACTTCTACCTCCTGAAAATGTTTCTAATTCCATACAACACATTAGTCTCTAAGATGAGTATAATTACTTTCAATTAAGAACTAGTTTTCTGCACCAGCTGTCAGGTCAAGATGATTGGCAGTAATTAAGCTTTTTAAGGATGTCAAATGTCTGTCACCGAGTGAAGACAATGAGGAACAAACTGTTTTATGAGACATACCAGACGGAAGTTGCAAGAGCACTTTCAGGAATGTTAAACTATCTTTAACATTCGCGAAAGCTTTCAATGTATCGGTATTTAAAGCTTTTGTTTTCCGAAATGATAAAAGGTGACCTACTACGTGTCGTTAAACAGGTTAGGAATTGGATAGGTTTATGAGCGATACAAAACACAGACATTACGTTTATTGCACAAAATCATTCTTACATAATGAGATTTTAGTCTGGTTAGTTCTGCCTATCTGGAACTGCTTTAGGCCTCCTGACACATTAAATACAAACAGGCTGCTGCTGGCCACACCACCCAAATCAATGTTGACACTCATACATTAAAAAGGCTGCAAACAGATGTGCAATTATCCAACCGTACATCTTTGAAAAGCAGAAGTGGAGCCTCCAGCACAATCAACAAGAATTCAGCGAGTGGTTTCTGGGTGGTAAGTGAACAACAAAACACCTGTCTTTTCCAGCAGCCATTGTACTCTGCATATTACTGGTCCTAATATTAAAGAAAATTCTAGATTGGGTATCAGTGATAATGTGCCCAATCCATAGTGGCAGATCAAGTCTAATCAAGTCTAATTCTATGCTTTGAGCTCTGAGCTTCTCTTTATTTTTTATTTGACATAATATTTAGAATTTCTAATTGCACTTTATGAACTATTTGAAAGGTTTGTTGCCGCTTATTTTTACGTTTGACCAAGGTAGACAACCTATATTTTTGCCCATTTCAGTTTTTTTATTATTCTTTTGTTTTTACATTTACATTTACTGCTAAACTTCTAATTCCACTGACAAATTAAGGTTTTGTTGTTTTTGCATGTTTGACCAACCTTGTGAAGCTAACCGTGTATTTAGGTGTGCAGAGTTATCAAATAAATTTGTAATTCAGTGAAGAAAAATGTTCCAAGTCAATTCAACACTGTTTTGTATTCTGAATCGGGTCGGTATTGGCTGATACTAAATCTCAGAAAATTTGTATCAGTATCGGAAGTGGAAAAAGGTTTATAGCAGTAAAACCAGGTGTCCAAACATGCTGGAGCTCCGCTTTGGTTGCTAGGTGACGCACTGGGTTCCACTGGGGTTGCTAAGCAACACGCAGTATGACTCAACAATCTGGAGGTTTTTGGCACAGCTCATTATCCTTACACCAAAAACATTAACTTATTGCCAAAAAATTTGATTTTTTTTAAGCACTTGGACATCTTTTAAACCCAACTGAAAGTACAAAAAAGTGAATTTTGCATAATAGATCCAGTTTAAATGAAACAC